TTCATAAGACGAAGCGATCAAAGAATAATCAGCCACAAAATGTGGGGAAAGGGTATTGTAAAGATGTCTTAAATAGTAATAATGATGTTATTTTTTGAGATTCATGATGTTTGATGCATTTGTAAGCTTTTGTACATTTGTGATTTGTTGTCATTTCTCATTCCAAATAAATATTCACTTATATACCTAATTTTGTATTTGTAGTTTTACATTGTTTTTCTAAAATAGGGTTCTTTTCTCTGCTTGGCTCCATCACTTCCAACTTTGTCTCTTTGAGTTCTGTGTCATCTTTAAGAAAATGGCATGAGCAGTTCTGTTCTTCCTCTTCCACAGGATTAAGCAAAGAGAAAGAGCAAATAAATTAATAAGCATAAAAATACATTGTATACTACTGACTGTGAAAGAAATATGAGTTGTTATGATTATCATCAAAATTAAAAACTTGAGAATTTATGGAAAAGGATGGGATACAAAGAATGGCTTTAAGGAAGAAGGAAAATGGATTATCATCCCCTCCCTCAATGAATACAGTCTGAGCACCATGACTTGCTTTGAGGAGGACAAGACTGGACTGGAAAGCACCTGGCACATATACCACCAAAAATGGACTAAACTTCCGGGATGGAGTCTCTTGAAGGGATGTTTCACCCAAGCCTGAGTTTATTTAATTTGTTAAAGAACCAGTGCAAGAATGGGGAATCTGGGAGAAGACGGAGAAGAAGAAGATAGGTTGGGAAGCTGGGGGACAAGAGTTTGGCTAAAATAATGGCCAGAATAAAATGGGCCAAGAAAGACAATGATGCTTATGAATATATTGTAGATTACTCCTGGGAGTTCTCTTCCCAGTCCACGCCAGCAGAGACAGTGAAAGATCAACACACCCTCAGTTCTCAGGGGGGCTATCTCAAGTCAGTCATGAGACTTGAGGGACAGAGTGAATGAAGAGACTTTTTTTTTTCCCTGTCACCTGGGAGGAAGTTGTTAAGAAAAAGAAACCCACCAAGTTAGAATTCTGTGCCTTGTGAAATTACCCTTCAAAAATGAAGAAGAAATAAAGACTTTCTAAGATAAAGAAAAAATTGAAGGAATTTGCTCTGCCTTGCAAGAATGGCAAAAGAAGTTCTCAAGAGAGAAGGAAAATTATGTAAGTCAGAAACTTGGTTTTACACAAAGAACAGTATCTGAGAAGGACTAAGTTAAGGTCAAACAAAAACTTTTCTTTTCCTTACTCTAAAATGAGCTAACAGAAAACACTTTGTTCAAAATAATAACAGCAACAACGCATTCAATTTATACATGTATTCAACATGTAATTATATAATAAGTATAATCAATGACAGCAACGATACCAGGGATAAGAGGGAGGATGTAAGATTATTTTGTTATTATAAAGTACTCACACTACCTGTGAATTACTATAGTGTTATTTGAAAGTGGATTTGGATTGTTGTAAATGTATATTGCAAACTTTAGGACAATCACTTAAAAAAGGTTAAAAAAAAAGTACAACTGATATGTTAAGGAAAGTAGAGAAAATGGAATTATATAATATACTTGATTAAAACAAAAAAGTGAAAGAAAAAATAAGAAAAAAGAACAAGGAAAACAAGTAGAAAACAATAAATATATATAGTAGATATTAATCCAATATATCAGTAATCACTTTAAATGTAAATGGACTATATACACTAGTTAAAAGCCAGAGATTATCAGAGTGGACTGAAAGCAAGACCCAACCTGTTGTCTGCAAGAAACCATTTTAAATATAAAGATACATAAAGATTAAAAGTAAATACATGGAGAAAGATTTATCACGTTGACACTACTCAAAAGAAAGCAAGAGACTAGATCTTAAATGTTCTCACTACAAAAAAGGAAATGATAATTATGTGATGTTTTGGAGGTGATAGCTAATGTTAATTGTGGTAATCATATTGCAATACATAAATATCAACACATTGTATACCTTAAACTTACACAATGTTATCTGTCAATTATATTCCAACTTCAAAAAAAGAAAATAGGAGTAGCTATATTAATTTCAGACAGAGTAGATCTCACATCAAGGAAAGCTATTAGGGATAAAGGGAGACATTACATATAAAGGAGTCAATACTCCAAGAAGGCATAACAATCCTTAATGTGTATGCACCTAACAATAGAGCATCAAAACACAGGAGGCTTGCAATGCATTTATTATGTATAAAATAAGCTACAAGGTTTAGAGTAATGATAGTGAAGATGTTCAGAGAACTCAAGAGGGGTACAGATGCATGGAGTGAAGTCTTTAGCGAAGAGTTGGAAAATATAAAGAACACCCAGAGTTGAAGAAAAAAGTCACTGAAATGAATAACACAATAGAAGGAATTAAGAATAGACTAAATGAGGTAGAAGAGCAGATCAGTGAGCTAGAAAACAGATTAGTGGAAATCACTACTGTAGAACAGAAAAAAGAAAAAAGAATGAAAAGACATGAGGATAGTTTAAGAGAACTCTGGAACAACATGAAGTTCACTAATATTCACATTATAGGGGTCCCAGAAAGAGGACAGAAAAAGGACCTGAGAAAAAATTTGAAGAGATAATAACTGAAAACTTCCCTAACTTGGGAAAGGAAACAGTCACCCAAGTCCAGGAAGCACAGAAAGCTCCACACAGGATCAACCCAAAGAGGAACACACCAAGGCACACTGTAATCAAATTGACAAAAGTTAAGCATAAGGAGAAAATATTAAAATCAGTGAAAGAAAAGCAACAAATAACATACAAGGGTTTTTCAGCAGAAACTCTACAGGCCAGAAAGGAGTGGCCCGATATATTTAAAGTGATAATAGGGAAAAACTTACAACAAAGAATACTCTATCCAACAGGGCTCTTGTTCAGATTTGATGGAGAAATCAAAAGCTTCACAGATAAACAAAAGCTAAAAGAATTCAGCACCATCAAACCAGCTTTATAATAAATGTTAAAGGAACTTCTCTAGTCATCAAATCATAAGAAAAGAGAACAAAAAAGAAGAAAGAGGGGAAAAAAAGACCTATAAAAGACTGTTTTGGCAGTTTAGGGGCTTTAATGGTTCCACATAAATTTTGGAATTGTTTGCTCTAGTTCTGTGGAGAATGTCGTGAGTATTTTGACAGGGGTTGCATTGGATCTGTGGGTTGCTTTGGGTAGTATGGCCATTTTGGAAATGTTGATTCTTCCAATCCAAGAGCACAAGATATCTTTCCATTTCTTTGTATCATCCTTCATCAATGTCTTACAGTTTTCAGAGTATAGGTAACCTCCTTGACTAAGTTTATTTCTTAGTGTTTTGTTGTTTTTGATGCAATGGAAATGTTTATGCCAATTATAAAATTCTGGTTTTTGAAGTGAAAAAAAAAGTGAATGAAGGGCCACAAATGGCAAAATACCCTTTTTATGGGTGAGTTGTATTCCTTTACATATATATGCTGCATCTTCTTTATCCATTCATCTATTGACATGCACTTAGAATGCTTCCATATCTTGGCAATTATAAATAATGTTGCTGTTAATAGCGTGGTGTATGTATCTTTTTGAATTAATTCTTATTTTGTGTTTGGCTTTATCCCTCTGGTAACTATGTAAGTTTAAAAAGTTAAAGCTCTGGGGTATAGCTCAGTGGCAGAATGTGTGCTTAGCATGCATGAGGTCCTGGGTTCAATCCCGAGTGCCTCCATTAAAAATAAATAAGCCTAGTTACCACCCCCTCCAAAAGAAAAAAATAATAAAAAGCTAAAGCTCTAAATATTCTTAAAAACAATGAACAGTACATGTATGTAAATTTTTTAAAATATGTGCAGTATATTGTGTATATGTAGTTACATGCAATATATTGTATATGTGCAGTCAAACTGTAACAATTCTACCTAATAAAGCTGAAAAATGAAAAAAAAGTCCATAAATGATAAATGCTGGAGAAGGTGTGGAAAAAAGGAAACTCTCCTACACTGTTGGTGGGAATGTAAGTTGGTGCAGCCACTATGGAAAACAGTATGGAGATTCCTTTAAAAACTAAAAATAGAGTTAATGTATGATCCTACAGTCCCACTCCTGGGCGTATATCCGGAGGGAACTCTAATTTGAAAAGATACAGATTGACTCTAAAATGTATATGAAAATGCAAAATCCTAAAATAATATAAAATTCAAGCAATTAAGAATGACTTTGGAACAGGAATATACAGTGGAGTGAAATAAAGCGTTCAGAAATAGGATAAAAGAGGAACTCATCAATACATGGGTTTGGAACCATTGAAAAAATGTAATTTTACCTTTATTTTATACGTTACCAAAAAACAATCAACTTCAGGTGGTTTAAAGGTGCAAATGTGAAAGTCAAAATTTCAAAAGTCTTACAAGAAGGCAGAATCAAGTTGTCCCACATTCCTAGGTAATGCAGTGTCATGAGTTCAAATCTTGCTTCCACAACATAATAGATGTGTAACCTTGTACATATAACTTAACCTCAGCCTCAGTTTTTTTCATCTGTAAATGATGATAACAATTGCACCTAACTCATGGGGTATTTGTGATAATTCAGTGAAGGAGAGAGAGAATCTCTTTAAATAGTACTTTACTTGAAGGAATTACTATAGAGGTTAGTTACTGTCATTACTGTTGTGTTTATTACATTCTTTCTATTGTACCAGGATCAGTCTCTTCCTTGCTGTAGAAGGTGGAAGTGAGGAAAAGAAGCAATCCCTTTTTAATTCAATGCTCTGATGGCTCTACCCTCCGTGGTTAAACATACACAGAAGCTCTGCATTCTAGATAAACATGGAACTCACTATCAAGGGTTGAATCAGCCCGGGACCTTCAGTTTCATGGCTGAATACTCAAGCACTCTCTGTCCAACTCAATACCTAGAAATGCCCAATCCTGGCCCTTGGGGTAAGTGGGCTCAGCCCTCTCAAGTATCAGACCCAAAATATAGAATCAGTTGATACCAAGACTCTCCTCCTTGCTGCTGGCTGTACCATGAAGTCTCCTGAGCTGGGAGTTCTCCTGGGGCTCTTCGTCTTCTTCGTGCTGACGACCCCATTGATGGGTGGGGTTTCTAAACTTGCTGACATGATATGTGGAGCATTAAAAGGTATGAACTTGAAGCAGAAAATAAATCCAAAGACCAATTATGAATGACGGAGGAAGAAAAAATTTGATATCCAGGTGGTCCAGGAAGGCTCTCCTTTTATGTCAGTACCCATAAACTCTTAGTTCCCTGGCTTGGGGTGTTACTTACTAGGCATCCTGTGGATGTCTGATGGGAAAAAAACAAACTATGATGCAAAGAACTCCTTTCTAGATAGGAGTCTCTTTTGTAGGAGATGCAGAGACCTAGAAGTATTCTGAATTAGGGTTTCACAGCAAATTTCAAAGATCCCAGGCCATTCAAGCACATCTACTAAGATGAGAGAAAAAGAGGAAAACTGAGAAAACTGAGGCATTTTCAATATCTGGGCTCTCGGTGAGTAGAGAACATTTGAACCCTTGAACACATGGTCCCTGTTTGCCTCTGGGAAGGGGACAGAGCGGGGGATGACAGCAGATGAGGGTAAAAGAGTATCACCCTCAGGGTTATGCATCTTGGCATGTATCCTCCTTTGAGGAGAGCAGCAGTCACAGTCACCTGAATTTGGGGGGCACAGATAGTACAATGAGTCTATGAAAACTGGGGCGTGAGCATTCTGCATTGTATGTCCTATGCGGGCAGTTAAGAGGAGAAAAAGAGGAAAGCATGGAGAAGCAGGAGGCTGTGCTTTAATAATACGTAAGACGTGTAAGGTGAACCTCATCACTCTGTAAAAGATACCAGTAGAATCTCCTTTTTCACTGCTCACTATCTCTGCAAGTCACTGCTAGAACCTGGAGTTTAATCAGTTTGCATGCCCAAAGGCAATCTTGCCAAGTGATCCTAAATCCAAGAGAAAACCAAAAGTCTTTCAGTGACTTTGAATATGGGATTATTTCTAGACTAATGTGAGAAATTTTTAAGGGCCCATGAAGACAAGATCTTCAATTCCCCCCTAACTCAATGGAAACCTTTCCTGCAGATCCCTGCATTTTGGACATCAAATACGGCAGCTGCTTTGAAATTCACTTTAGATTTTTCTACAACAAAACCTCCAAACGTTGTGAATATTTTATCTACTCTGGCTGTGATGGCAACCTTAACAACTACAAGCTTAAAATAGAATGTCAAGTAGCCTGCGACAAAACATACAAAACACGTAAGGAATTCAATTTTGTCCTTGATCCTTGGGGAGAGGAAAAGGAGAGGCTCTGAGACTCCAGGACAAACCCTGGGATGGGAAGAGGGAGGAATGTCAAAATCGAGGGTTTAATAATTGGGTTGGATCTCAGAATCACTTGTCATTTTGCAGTTAGGAAATCAAAAGCCGTGAGAGAAAAAGCCATCATTTATTGTGCAATTACCATGTGCCAGGTACTACCCTAAGTAATTTACATATGTTGATAGAATTTTAAATTAAAATCACCCTAAGATAGATATGCACCATTATTTTTATGTGGCAGATAAGGAAAACAAACCCAGTAGTGGTAACCAGTCGGCCCAAGGTCACATAATTAAATGGCATGGCAAGATTTCTAACTAAATCTGGTCACCAAGGGCTGGATCATCTCACATGCACAAAATCCCCCAGACCCAATCCTTAACTGCTAGGCCTGTGAACTTTCCATAGCAACATGCTGTTTTCTACAACTAAGCTCCCAGCCTGCACTTCACCATTTCCCAGTCATAGGAAATAGAAGAAGATCCATGGAAGTAACAGGGCTATGGTGTGGCTGATTTCCAGCAGAGCGAGATGGAGAGTGGCCTTGGGAGTAACCCAAAAGCAGAAATTTTATTTTATTTATTTAATCTTCCTCGTTACTCTTGGCAGTACCTGTCACATAGAAGACAATAACTAAGTTTTGAGAGAATGAAAGAATGAGAGATTAATCGATGTAACAGGAGGGACAGTGAAAGAGATGGCATTGTCTGGGCTTCCCCTGAGATCAAAATGACTTAAATTAGTCCAGGGAGATTTTTCCAAAACCTTTAACACAGATCTGTGGTTTTTTTGTTTGAACAGGAACAGCAAAAACTGGATCTACTTGATACACCATCTGAAACATAGATGTAGGAAAAATCAGACCAATTTTAAGATCTTTGTAATAAATATTTTGATAATCCTTGAAATTTTCATCCGTTCTCTATTTTCCTGACTTTAGTTTTGTCTTTGCTGAAAAATATCTGTACGGCCATTAAAATGAAAGAACTTTACAAGTCAGCCCTTCATCCTCTCTGAGTATCTCGCTGCCTCCCCTCCTCAACTTTATCCAGGGCTGGAATCTCAGCTGACCCTATCCATTACTCCCCACTCCCTCCTGAACCATTCCTCATGCATGCAGTCGATGCTTTCACTGTTACAGGTGTGACAAGCCAAATCTATACAGGTTTGAATCACCTCCCCTCTTAGGTTGAGCTATTAAGTAGAACCAAAGCACCAAATCTGTGCTACTCTTTGTCCTTGAAATGAAACCGAGAAGAAATTCCCATTCAAATGAAATGTTCTTGCACTCATAATAATTTTTTCTTTGTGGTGGTTCCTGATTCATGTTCACCAAGCCATGAGTCACAACTAGTTTAATTAACCTGCTGGTGTAATCTCTATTTATCGTAATTATTTGGACATATTTTTAGTACCTCAGTCATTGACATTGGACTTGGCTATTCTCAGTCCTTCTGGGAAATGAACCCTCAACTTCAGTTCAGTGACAGTGTCTTAGCTACCAAGAGAATGATCATTCTAAAACTGTCTGCCAAGTCTTCTGAATATAATGCTTGGTTCGACATGGTTCGACATGGCCATGATCTTCTCAGCTGTAGGATACTCAGCTTGATCACTTCATGTCTGAATGTTTTCAGGCATCCCTTCTCTGCACACATTCCTTGTCCATCTTATTGACAAAATTCAGCCTCTCACCTGTGAATCACATTCTGGACTACTGGCAGCCAGGGCCAGCATCAGAGGCCTCGTGAACCAGCGAGATCCTACAGCAAGTCCTGCAAGCCTGGTCTCCACTCAGTTTTAAAAATAAGAAAACCAATCCCCTAAACTGAGATGATTTTCTGCAAAAACTCTGCTTACTTCCAGATCAGATCATTGTCCAGATAGAGTTTACTCTGAACATGTGTATATTCCAACTTTGGTGAAGGCCCTAGAATTATAATCATTCTTTAGCCCCGTCAGCTGCGGGAGACATGCTGTGACAGCCAACTTGGGCAAAAAGAATTCTATTCTCCACATATCAGGGATCTATGCTCTGACTGCTGACCACTGCTTCTGATCACATAAAGAAGCACCTCCTCTCATTGTTATAAGCACCTCCCCTTCAGGCCAAAGTGACTTCCAGGAATTTAAAGGGCCAGTGCCCTTTTCCCTACCCTTCATTTTTCTCTTTTCCTCTTTTTGGGAGCCAGACATTAAAGACTAGGACATTCAAAAAAACAACTGTATATGTATGGAAAATTAGAAAGTGAGCATGCATGATCAGGAAAGGGCTCAGAAAACATGTGAGAATACCTTAAGTTTCCATTTCAGGCTGACCCTCAGCACAGGAACAGTCTAAAGCAATTGAAAGCAAACAGAAAACAAAACTCACAAAAACTGTAACAAAATAAAAGAGAATACCTTGGGGAGAATCTGACTTCCAGAATTACCACATTACTAGATTTAAGTGTCCAGTTTTCATCAAAAAAAAAAATCACAAGGCATGCAAAGAAATATAAAAGTATGGCCCATTCAAATAAATAAAATAATAGAAACTGTCTCTGAAAAAGATATGATAGCAGATCTGCTAGACAAAGATTTTTAAACTACTGTCTTAAAGATGCTCAAAGAACTAACATGAAGAAAGTCAAGAAAATGTTTGAACAAAATGGAAATATCAATAAAGAGATTTTTTTAACTAAATAAAAACAGAAAAGAAATTCTGGAGCTAAAAAGTACAATAACTGAAATGAAAAATTCATTAGAGGGATTCAAAGGCAAATTTAAGTAAGAAGAAAAAAAAGCAGTGAACTTGAACATGGGACAATGGAAATTATCAAGTCTGAAGAACAGAAGGAAAAAAGACCTGTGGGACATCAACAAACTATATTAACATACTCATTGTGGGGGTCCCAGAAGGAGAGGTGAGTGACAGAGAGAGGGGGAGAGAATATATAAAGAAATATGACTGAAAACTTCCTAAATTTGGTGAAAGACATAAATATAAATACCCAAGAAGTTCAATAAACTGCAAGATGTACTCTAAGAGATGCACACTGAGACATTATAATCAAACTGTCAAAAGCTAAAGACAAAGATGATCTTGAAAGCAGCAAGAGAGAAGCAACATCTCACATACAAGGGATTGTCAATAAGGTAACAGCAGATTTCTCATCAGAAACGTTAGAAGTAAGTAGGCAGTGGGTCAATATAGTCAAAATGCTAGGAATTTAAAAAAAAACAACAACAAAAAACCTTTCAACTGAGTATCCTATATCTGGAAAAACTGTCTTTCAAAAGTGAGGGAGGAGGGGAATCTACCAAGATGGCAACATAGGAGGCTCCTGAATTCCCCTCTTCCTGCAAACACACTGAAAGTACAACTGCACGTGGAACGATTACCTCTGAAAGAAACCCCAAGACTAGCTGAGTGACTTACACACTGCATGAACGAGGAAATACCCATATTGAAGCAGGCAGAAAAGCCTGAGACACACTCTCATAAACCCCATCCCCAGCACAGGGCCATACAATCTGGAAGGAACTCCCAACTCCCAGCTTCCCCTTGAGGAGCAAAGTGCTTAGAACTCAAATTTAGTGCCCCAGCTTCTAAGACTCCCACCTGAGGGATAGGCCCCCAGAACTTGTAGCTCTGAAAGCCAGTGAAGCTTGTATCCCTGAGACCCACAGGACCAAAGCAAACAAAAACGCAGCTGTTCATGGGCGCATTTCACTGGGACTATCCCTCCAGTGCTCAGAGCAGAGGGAGCAGGCAAAATCGCTTCCTCCCAGTCTTTCCCTGAAAGGTGTCCATCTGCGTACATTGAAAACCACTGTCTGAATGGTAGGCTTATAATTTAGCACACATCGAGGGGCTGGCCATGATCCTCCCCAGAGACCAGGGAAACCAGTGGACACCTCCCCTACCATCTCCCTGTAGTCTACGATTCCACCCCTGGGTATACATCCAAATGGAATGAAAACGGGATATCAACGAGATACCTGCATTCACGTGTTTACTGTAGCATTATTCATAGGACCCAAGATATGGAAACAACACAAATCTGTCAAAAATAAATGACTAAAGAAGATGTGAGGTTATATATAATATAAATATATATATCATATACATGCACAAATATACATACACACACAATGGAATATGATTCAGCCATGAGAAAGAAGGAAATCCCACCTTTTGCAACAATGTGGCTGGACTTGGAGGGCATTATGCTAAGTGAGATAAGTCAGACAGAGAAAGACAAATACTGTATGATATCACTTACATGTGGAATCTAAAAAAACTGAACTCAAAAACAGACAGTAGAATGGTGGTTATCAGGGGCTGAGGAGTTGGGGAACTGGGGAGATACTGCTCAAGGGTATAAACTTGAAACCAGTAGATAAATAAGTCCTGGAGATTTAATGCACAGCATAGTGATTACAGTCAACAACACTGTATTATGAACTTCAAAGTTGCTAAGAGACTGGATCTTAATTGTCCTCTCCACAAAAAAGACATGGTAATTATGTGACATGATAAAGATGTTAGCTAACAGCACAGTGGTAGTCATATTGCAATATATAAATGTATCTAATCAACAAGTTGTACACCTTAAACTTGCACAATGTTATATGTCAATTATATCTCAATATTAAAAAAAAGAATGATGATATTTCCAAGATCCCCCAAGGGAAAGGATTGGATAGGGCTAGGGTCATGCAACATTACACAAAATCTAGCTGTCACCCAAACTACCCTTGTTACATCTACACTCTCACATTTGGATACAGGCCAAAATCTGATTGACAAGGTAATGGAGAAAAAATATTATTGTCAGCACAAGTGCAATGAGAAATTTAATTTTTGCATAATCTCTAAATATCTCCCCCACAAAATATTTATTAATAACAAAAGGAAAGAGCAATTTTACAGAAGAGAAACCTGGCAGGCA